CCATTTCCTCAGCATCCTGTGGGTGCAGGTCCCTTGCTAGGAGTACCAGGGTGTATCTCACTTAATCACTTCCCTGCCATGGCAGAGGCCTTGTGCACTGGTGATCTAAGCTGCTTCTGTTATCTGTCTGTGGCACATGATAGCCCTGTCTCCGGTGGGCTGTCTAGCTTGTGCTAATCCCAGTTGCTGTGTTTAGTGTGCAGGTGCTGATGGTCTGTGATATACAGGCGGTTGGACTGGGTGATCCGGTGGTCCCTGCTGGCCTTTGACTCTATGATTTTGGACCCCTGGCCCTTTTTGCACTGGGAATGTAATGCCGTATCTCAGCTCCCTACACACAGCCAGCCAGCTATTCTGGTGCTGGCCTAATTATAACACAGGCTTTATTGCTTGTCAATATTTTAACCTCTCTGACATATTATCCCCTAGGGCAACTGAGCAACATTAATAATCTAGTTGATAATTATCCTCTGCATGACTAAAGTTATCACTAGGGTCCTGTGTAAATCCTACAGCAAAGATGACAGATTTCACTGGCTGGTCATCACCAAAATGGGAAGAGGCACAGATAGTGACAGCTTAATAGGCAAGGTAATAAACCTACAATAAAGTCATTTATAATGTGAGCAATGATTCTCACACTCTATATTTGTTTTCCATGCTAAACAGAAGATAAATGTCAGATTAGGAACAAGATCTGAGATTTCTATTAAAAATATTTGGAAAATGTCATTAAATACCAGCAATTTGCAGCTCCAGCAGTGAGATGCTTGGAAGCAAACTGGGGATACTAAAGCTTGCTTCCCTGAGAGGTGGGCAGAGAGGGTGGATGTTTGTACAATTCTTGGCCTGTCCCTATATGGGGCCCAGCCCAGTTCCTCTCTGAAACACTCAGAAATGGTGGGACTGTTACAGCAGTTGGAGCCTGCTACCATATCGTAGGGGCTGCTAGACCAGAGGGGTCTCAAAGTTGGTGGAACTAGGGCTGTAGTTTTCAAACTTTTTTCATTTGTGGACCCCTAAACAATTTCGAATGGAGGTGCGGACCCCTTTGGAAATCGTAGGCATAGTCTGCGGAACCCGGGTTGAAAACCACTGACCTAGGGAATTTCTAGGAGGCTCTAAAATTTCCTACAGGATCCAAACTTTCGTTAAAAAAAAAATAAAGGCCTAGCTCTTGTCACTGCTAAGAAAACATCCCTTATAGAAACAGCAACATCAAAGTGTATTGGATATGTAGCAATGGGGATGGGGCAGTTTACCCCATTCTGACTCTAAAGGCATAAATTCCACTCGCTGGCAATATTGTAAAATTAGTTTCTGTGCAGTGAACACAAGTGTAATGGGCGGTTGCCTGTAACACTGATCTGGCTGTTCGCTATGATGTATCACAGACTTTGAGTTTTTCCGTCTGCAACAGCACAAAGAATTCTGGGGTGTTGGGTCCGGGGGGGTCAGGAGGAGCGGTTTGGGGGTTACCAAAGGGAAAGTGGGTGTCTTGGTCAGTGCAGACAGGCTGAGGCTCCCTGCAGAGGACCAGCTGGATGAGGTGAGGGCAGAGGAGCGGCAGAGGTGCCCTGATGACCAGAGAAGCAATTGACTCATTAATTCTCCTGGGTAGCATCTGGACGGGGATAGTGGGCACCCGGGAGGGATATGTGGGCACCCGGGAGGGAAAAGGGTGCACATCCCATGCCCTGATGGAGTTGCACGGGGTAGAGGGCAGGGCAGGATGCAGAACTGAGCGTGGAAGTGCGGCTTGGCTAATGCCCCATTGGGGCTCAGTGGCCCAAGAGGAATGGCCCTGTGCAGAGAAGTCCATTAGTCACAGGCTGGGCCAGGAACAGCAGTAACGGGCACCCCAGGTCACACTGCCCTTTCAGATCCTTGAACTGGGCTGCTCAGTGCGGGCCCTCCACTCTACGGCTCCTTTCCCTGTCTCCCTCGAAATGCTACAGACAGACGTTGGCCCTGGAGCTCACTGTTTGCTTGCCTCCTGCGGGGAATGACACGGCTCTGGAGGTCTCACAGGAGCCATTTTCACTTTGCTGATACAGAGTGAAGAACCCAGTTGTTATTGTGCAAGGTTCCTGTGAGGCCACCTCCTGCTGCAGGACACCTGAGGTTGTTCGTGACCCTCCTTCTTCTACTGACTAGCTGGATGCGCCTCCAGGAAAGAGGGGAATTAACACTTGCAGTGCCTGCCAGAACTAGGAAGAACGACTGGTTGCTTTACTCCTGCAGAGGAGAAAGCACAGGGTCTGTAACCAAGGGCAGAGCTCTTCAGGTCCAGTTTCTGGAGGCCACTCTTGTCTGACCGCGTGGGCGTGACAGCAGGGCTTTGAACCAGAAGCGTGGCTATGGCTGAACTGTGAAACACCCGGCTGCCCACAGAGATCCCTGGGACTCCCCCACCCACTGTATAAGCCACAGAGGGTCTGGCTGCACTGCAGTGTGAGAATTCGAGCGAGCTGACAGTGGGTTTGTCAGCGTAGGACTTGAGAGTCTGCAGTCAATTGTAACCCCTGGCTTGGAATCGTTGAACCCTGGATCCCAACCTGGGACTCCAGCATCTGCACTGCATTATGTGGGCCTGAGTCCAACCACCCATATCCCAGACTTCCGGCACCCTCCCAAAACGTGGCTGCTCTGACCCTCTGTTTGCTGTGCAGCGTGACCAAACGTGACTGTTCAGAGGACAAAGGAAGTCAGCCTGTGGGATCCTTTTGGCAGACTCCCAGAGCACGAGTCCAGTGGGGCTGTGTCTACACTGCAGAACAATAGGGCTTGAACCCTGGGTCCAGTCCTAGCATTTGACTCAGGCTCAGACCCTCCACCTCCATGGGTTCTGGGACCGGGGGTCTGAGCACAATTTGTGTGTTGATGGAAGGGGGGTTAGGCTTGAGCCTGACCAGGAACCCTGGGCTTACACTGCAGTGTAAACATCCCCACAGTGTCTTGGCCTCCTCCCCTCCCAGCGGGTAAAGGTACCTTCCTTGGCGGTCAGAAGCCAGGCATGCCAGGCAGGGGGTGCAATACTCAGCCTTCACTGTGCACCCCGTGCCTACGCTTAAAGCACAGTCTCTGTTCCTACACCACTCTTCTGATAGCACGTGCTCTCTTCTTGGAATTTAGGACCTGGGGATAGCTCTGGGCATGTCCTGCTTTGGAGTGCCGGGTTTCTCTCTGAAGCTCCTGCCCTCGGGGGTGGAATCCTGGAGTTTCTCCGTCTCAGGCTGTCTCTGGGAATGTCTACACTGCGGGCGCTAAGCAGCAGTACGGGAGCCAGGCTGCTGTAGTGTCGCGGTGCGGATGCTTCCGACAGCGACGGAAGGGATAAGTGGAGACGAGGGCTCATTGCCACAGAGGTAGTTTCTATGTACCAGCTGGCCTGGCCAGAGCCTGGCCTGACAAGGGGGCATGGGTGGGCACCGTGTGTCATGTGTTTAATTACCCTGGTGTATGGCACATTCTCAGTGCATCCTTTCACTTGCACTTCTGCCACATGTACACATTGAGTCTGAACCCTGGTGTGTCTAATCTAGTGAGAGCTTTATTGATCCAGTCCTAGCATTTGATCCTCTGAGCTCCCTACTGCTACACAAAGGGGCAAATGGCTGCTTGTTCTTTAAAACAATATGACTTTTTGTGACGCTCCATGGAGACATTGATACTAAATATTGCAGCACAGCTGGGATATGCGTCCCAGAAAGCAGATTACTCAAAGAGCGAGGGGTAATTAAGAACTGGAGCAATAGTGAGCCGGCTCCCCCCATCCCCAACCCCAGGGGGATGCAGTGCATTTATCATGTCACTCTTGACATCGGTGATGCAGCTTTTGGGGCGTGAACTATTGAATTACAGTTGCTGGCAAACATTGTTTCAGGCGTGTTGAGGAGAACGGTAAACAGCATGCTGGGCGGTGACAAATACACAGCCGCTTCTCACAGCGCTGGCCCAGTGAACAGCCCAACAGCCATTGGGGGCTTTCCCTTGGCTGCCCTCCTGGCAGGAGGCATGCGGGGCAGCAGCTCTCTTCTCCTGGCCATGCTGGGCTGAATTAGAGTGAGGGAGTCGGCAGGTTTGTTTAGTTCCAATGCCTCTTCCCCTTAAATGATGATTTTATTGCCCAGCGTGATACTAACAATGGCAGATGAACCTAGAGTCTAATGAGGCACCATCTGTGATTCAGGAAACAAGTGAGGCAGGGTCTCTGCCTGGGCTTTGCACATGGTGTGATCTGGGCCATCCCTTCTGGGCTCCCCTGGCCTCGGAGGGTGAGCTTGGTGGGGGCTCCAGCCACAGGGTTCCTTGGAGCTGTGATCTTTCTGGTCCCTTTGGAGAATCCTGGTCTTGGCTGCAGGCCCTTGTCATCGTGAGACCTGATCAGCGGCTGGTGGTCTCAGGTTCTACTCATGGTGAGATATAGATGGAGTGGAGAGGTGGTTTGGGCTGCTATGGAGGATGTCTTCCCCTTTGCTTTCCCTGCAAGCACCATTTGCCAGGGAATTATCCTCGTGGCTTTGTTGCTTGTTAGACACGTTAATCCCATAACCCTGCCAGCAATCTCTGCAGCTACGTCTGGCAGGTAAGGTGATGGCTCAGTCGCAGGCTGTCCAGTCCCAGGATGACGTGTTTACATCAGTGCTGCCTGCCTGTGGTGTTGCTTAGAGAAGCATAGATCAAGGTAAATAAGGGTGAATGGGAAATTCTCTCTGAAATGCCATGTTCATCTGACAGTCAGCAGAAAAGGAGTGCTCAATTACTTCATTAATTAAATGGGTGACTCCCACGGCAACCGTAAAGAAGTTGCTGGCTGCATCTGGGGGGGGTGAATGGGAAGTTAATTGCCAGTTACAGTCTCTGCCATTCCAGCTGCCTGTAATGTGTGTATTCCTGTTTATTTGGTCTCTGTTTGAACTGGGAAGAGGGAAGGTTCTGCTGTCTGCTGTTTACTCATTTTTAAAATAACAATTTAGCTTCTAAACCTGCCATTCCAGGAGCGAGCTGAACCATGTGCCAGGAACAACATGATTCTTCCAGTAACGTTTCCCTGCCCTTGTACCAACCTGGTTCCAGCAGCCCCAGCAGGCAGGTGAGCATGATACACCCCTGTCAGAACAGGTACTGAGGATGAGGAAGAACCACTTTCTCACTGGAAGGGAATCTGACTTATTTGAATGTGTCCCTGGCCAGACTGGGGGGTCTGTCCTTTTCTGCTGATACTGGGGCTTGGAACAATGTTGAGAACCCAGATGATCCGTGTTGTTTTCAGAGAAGGTTCAGCACAAAGAACATTCCCAGATTTCTGATTCTGTGCATGGAAGAGACCAAGCTCTGGGTAGCAATGGCCCTCCTGTTTCTTGCAAGTCTTGCAAGGACACTTGCAAAGTCTCAGAGCTCCAGTTCTGAAGGTGTGCCCCGATGTGCAGTCAAGGCCAACCAGAGCTCTTCCTGGGAAAAGGGTGAGCTCTGGGAGCGGGCAGTCTGCCTGCAAAGGGTCTGCCACACACGATCTCTGAGGGGTGTCACCTCTTGGTTTTATCCCGGGAGTGGCTCAGCCTGGCTAAGAGCCGGATGAAGGTGTAAGAGAAGTCCTACTACTGTCATCTGCATTTGGCCCTGGCTCTGCGTTTCTGCAGCAGAGCCTCGTATCGGCCACAACGCCCAGCGCTGTGAAGCTGCCCTGGCTTGCAATGCGGGGCGTAAGCAGAAATCTGACCAGTGCGTTTAACATTTAGAATAAGCGTCACTGTATCAGGCTCCCTGAGAACGGGTCAAATCCAATTCAGCAGGTACTGCCCTTTACTTTTTGTGTTAATCATGGTAGGAACTTTGACCTGAACCCATTAAATGTACAAACAGAAGGCATAAAAAAAGTCAACAGACCAGAAAAGCCTCTGAATCCTGAAGCATTGTGTGGGATGGTGTCAGTTTAGCCAGGCCCCAGTTTAGCAGAGTGTAAATACAATCCTTCTCGCCATGCAGAGAACTGTCCTTAGCCAGAGCAATGGAGAAGTTAAAGGTTGGGAGCAGTTCAGTGTCTCGGAGACAAATCCATCCCTGGGGCAACTCTAAGATGTTTCTTTGCTTTCACTGATAAAAACCAGATCGCATGGAAGGCAAAACAGGGAGGATGCCTGGCCCAGTGGACAGGGTACTCGACATAGTGCACTGGGCAAGGGTATTGCTCCTGGCTACTGGCTAGTGCTCTGTTCTCCTGGTTGTCCCCACATACCACGTGCAGGACTTCATTTTCACTCAGCTCAGTGCCCTGCCCTCTCTTGGGGCCCGGTTCCCCCCTCCAACTCCGCCAGGAACTCAGCTGCACATGGGATGTGCCGAGAATTGAGAGTCTTCAATAGAAATCTTGCAAATGTCTCTTTTCCTAAATTGTTTTCTCTTTCCTTTCAGTTCAAAGATGAGCTGGGGGATGGCAGCAGTGACGGGAATGTCTGGAGCAGATGGGTTTGGTTTAGATTACAAACAAAGGGGCTGTAAATTCTTCCTGGAAATCATTGCAGTGAATGAGCTGGGCCCACAGTCAGTGCTGCTCTCGGGCAGAGGGTTGGGAGGAGCTGGGCACATCACTTTAGAGGATCTAGTCAGTAAGAGATGTGTGAAATCTTCAGTCTTTGCTGTTGCTGGGCCATTATTAGTATTTTTAGCAGTTTTAGCTTCTGAGCCCCCATGCCCTGGTCTTGGAGGGGTTAACTGTGTGTCTTACGTGACAAATATAGCAGAGAATTGGGGTGTTTCCAGGCACCTTCTGTCAGGGCCGGCTCCAATGGCACCAGCTTGGGGCGGCATTCAGAATGCGGCGGCGGTCCGTGTCCCGCAGCGGCAATTCGGCAGCAGCTCCGCCGCTCTTCGGGGGCGGGGGGTACAATTCGGCGACTGCTTGGGGCGGCAAAATTGGTAGAGCTGCCCCTGCCTTCTGTAGTAAGTTATGGGAACATACTTGGTTCGCTGGCTCACCCTTAAGAGTCTTTAATACACAGAAAAAAGGAATAATCAATAATTACCTGTAAGAGCCAATCAGCCAGCGTCTTACACCCAGAGTCTTTTCACTTATTCAGTATGTTCACTTCCAGCAAGGCTTATCGCTGTATCTTGGAGCAGCACATTCATGAGTGGGGAATAAAGGAGACTAAAGTCCTAATCCTGAAACTACCTCCAGGCAGGCACAGAAACCTGCTTGTGCAGATTGGTGTCTAGACCTCTATGCGTTTAAATGCAAGGCCCTTGTGCCTTGTAATGCACCCTAGGCAATCTTACCTTTCATTAATCATCAGTGTAAACACTCTGTTACACCATACTTAAAACTAACCATGTAAAGGCAACATCATGTGTGACTTGACCTTGGCAAGCTTACAAATACCAAACCTTTACAACCAATCAACTCATTAAAATGTTTCAAAATCTTTAAAAAATCATCTCATTTTATCCAAGTATTATTTAATAGAAAACCTTGCTTTGAAGCCTTTTAGGGTTAACAGTCTATAGATTTGACATGGGTCTTACATTTGAAACATACACAACTGCAGAATGAAGAATGCTTTTTCTTCTAACCAGTTATAAAAGGGAGTTTTACTAAAACTAATTGAAACTACAATTGCAAACGTAACCATTATCTTTCAAGGCAAACCCATTTATACATCAATTAAAGAAGCAAAATATCTTTCATTGCACATGTTTTAATATGTTTATTTGAGAAAACGCTCTTCCTTCCTGTCCTTGGATGGAAGGAGGAGATGGCACTTGTCTCCTTCCCTGGAGGATATTCGGGGGTGTCTCATTCGCAGGCATTCCAAGTTTTGTCCGTCAGCAACGGGCGCCTTCTGTGCATCAGCAGATCAACATTTTCTTCAGTTTTTACCCCTCTTGCGAGTACATTAAAGTTACCGTCAACTGGAATAGTCTATTTTTCCACAAAAATTATTTAACTCTTTTAATCGCTTTACTCTAAAATATCCCATCTCTGTTTTATTATAAAGCACGGCCAAAGTGTTCACATACCGTCAATTTCCATATAGAAATACAAAAAAACAAATCTTAGACATTAACTCTACAATACGTGGACCCAGTCACTGTTCAATTTTTGGGACCTATATGGGCCTCTCCCATTCTCTCCTCCTGCCATGCTGCGTTCATCACTTGTCATCACCTTGGTAGAAGGTACAGGGACATCCGCTCATCTTGAGCGCTGGTTTTTCCTCCTCATGTGATGGCCCCCATCCAGCAGATTACTTAAGTATGTGCTTAACTTTAAGCATGTGAGTAGCTCTGCTTAAGAGAGACAAGATGTGAGAGGTGATATCTGTTATTGGACCAACTGCTGCTGGTCAGAGAGACCAGCTTTCAAACACGTAGAGCTCGTCCTTTACTGAAGTCAGTAGAATTATTCATAGCTTAAAAAGAAGCACATACTTATCTGCTTTGCTGGATTGGGACCATCCTAACCCTGGGAAGGTGTCTGAACAGGGAGACTGTGCACATACAAATAAATGATGGGAGCATGAAGTGCCATGCGATATTTCCCAGCATATGGTGAATCATAAGGAAACTGCCTGAAGGTTAGATTCAAGTCCTGGCAGAATCGGTGCCTTGTCTCCAAAAACGAAGAAGCATGCAGTAGAGTTTTCCTCCCGTTGCTTGCAAGAGTGTGTGAGCCGGGTTTCTGATACAGGTCTGGGATATTGTTAGTGGGTTCTTGATGTCTGTGCGGGAGTGTTACTGACATAGTTAATTATTTGGCTACTGGTCTAGGGTGTTGTAATGAGCCTCTGATGTCCCTTATCCTCTCAGCTCAGGCATGACTTACACACAAAGGCTTCACAGACCTTCCGAAGCAGCAGTGTCAAGGCACAAAGTATTGTGGCTCTGTTTCAGTCATGAATCCTTTGAAAGGTTTTGAATGATAGCAGCAGCCACAAATATCATAGAATCATAGAATATCAGGGTTGGAAGGGACCTCAGGAGGTCATCTAGTCCAACCCCCTGCTCGAAGCAGGACCAATTCCCAGTTAAATCATCCCAGCCAGGGCTTTGTCAAGCCTGACCTTAAAAACGTCAAAGGAAGGAGATTCCACCACCTCCCTAGGTAACGCATTCCAGTGCTTCACCACCCTCCTAGTGAAAAAGTTTTTCCTAATATCCAACCTAAACCTCCCCCACTGCAACTTGAGACCATTACTCCTCGTTCTGTCATCAGCTACCACTGAGAACAGTCTAGATCCATCCTCTTTGGAACCCCCTTTCAGGTAGTTGAAAGCAGCTATCAAATCCCCCCTCATTCTTCTCTTCTGCAGACTAAACAATCCCAGTTCCCTCAGCCTCTCCTCATAAGTTATGTGTTCCAGTCCCCTAATTATTTTTGTTGCCCTGTGTTCCAGTCCCCTAATCATTTTTGTTGCCCTCCGCTGGACTCTCTCCAATTTTTCCACATCCTTCTTGTAGTGTGGGGCCCAAAACTGGACACAGTACTCCAGATGAGGCCTCACCAATGTCGAATAGAGGGGAACGATCACGTCCCTCGATCTGCTCGCTATGCCCCTACTTATACAGCCCAAAATGCCATTGGCCTTCTTGGCAACAAGGGCACACTGTTGACTCATATCCAGCTTCTCGTCCACTGTAACCCCTAGGTCCTTTTCTGCAGAACTGCTGCCGAGCCATTCGGTCCCTAGTCTGTAGCCGTGCATGGGATTCTTTCATCCTAAGTGCAGGACTCTGCACTTGTCCTTGTTGAACCTCATCAGATTTCTTTTGGCTCAATCCTCTAATTTGTCTAGGGCCCTCTTATCCTATCCCTACCCTCCAGCATGTCTACCAGCCCCATGATGTCCATTTCTCAGCTAAGCAATTGGCTGATTCAAAGCTTCCTTGCCTTTCAAGACAGCAGCTAAAGCAGTGCAGAGATGATGACCATACTGCAGCACGTGGTTATTTTTTCTTACGCATTTTAGGAATGACGTGCTGTGTGCATTGCTTCTCAGGAGACTGGCTGGTTGGCCCTGAGGGGATGTTGATTATACTGTTATTCTGCCATCACAGATAGAGAGGTTAAAACAACTTAGAATGACCACTAAGTAAACAGAGGTGGTCTGATAATAGTTGTTGAAACTCTCTCTATTCCCCACTTCCCTCTCATCCTCTGCTTCTTTGCCATTTATAGTTCCTCTTATCTTTGTCTGTATTTATGTCTTTTTCTCATTCTGACTCATTTCCTCCTGAAAGGTTTAGGTCTCAAGAGTCAGGTTTCTTTGCATTGATTCACGGTGGAGTCTCTAACAGCAGGTGTCAGGAAGGTCAATGTGAAAGCTGCAGCTTTTTCCAGGTATCTTGCCTGAAATTCTTGTGTAGCCTGAAAAAGCGTGAGGCAAGCTGGGAGGGAAAGAGCTTTTCTCTTAGAGAAAAATTTTAAAGTTTCAGGGTTTCAGACATTCACTTTCCAGCTAAATCCCTGGGAATGACGCAGAAAAGGCTTCCTGGTCAGGAGTTCACATTTCCTGCTCTGCAGCCTTAGGAACTGGTACATATTAGGTATGTCGGGACTGAGCTTTTGCCTCATTTGAAAGTTTGCTTGCCACCACCTCTAGATCTTTGGGGCTACCATGAAGTGCAGAATTAGCCAGGAATGTGTGACATTGTCCATTTTCACATTGCAGATTTCTTCATTTGAAACAATACTGTTTGGTTTCATTTTCGCTGGCAGTGAATATGGTTTTCATGGTAGAGTTGGAGAAATCCTGCCCCGGAGCAGGGTGCTGAGTTCCAGAGATTTTCCTCTGGTGAAATCTTCCTTCTTGGTGTGACCCTGCTTCCTGTAGAGACAAATCTTCATGAACTCTGCAAAAAACATTGGAAGCAAAACACAGGCCCTGTTTTCCTCCCTGTCCCAGCAGGAAGAATGGGGGTTCTCTAGAAGCCGGTCCTCTTGGAGAGCAGGTTAGAGGGATGCCACTGGGCTTCCTGGTCTCCGATTGTAACCGCTGTGAAAGTAAAGGCAGCCATTGAGGACTGGGGACACACTGATATGGTGGAGAAGGGTCAATTGCCATTGCCCCATCTCAGACAATTCCCTAAGGCAGGCCATGACCACCTCGCCTCCTCACCATGGATGCCTGCCGCATAGTATCCTTCATTAACACTACATATTAAGGGTAGCACTGAGACAGCTGGCCAGACACCTCCCTTGCTATGGCTTGGGTGACATGGCCTTCCTAACGCATCCTCGCCATCTCTTGCATGATAGAGGATTGGTTTCACAGATTCCAGCACCAGAGTGGACCATTGTTATCATCTGGTATGACCTCCTGCACCCACAGGCCAGAGACCTGCCCCAGAACAATCCCCAAAGCAGAGCTTTTAGAAAAAATCCCATCTTGATTTAGAAATTGTTAGTGATGGAGACTCCACCACAGCCCTTGTCCATATGTTCCAAGGGTTCATTACGTTCACTGCTAAAATGGACCCCTTATTTCCAGCTTGCCTAGCTTTGGTGTCCAGCCATTGGATGGGGTTAACCTTTCTCTGCTAGAGTGAAGAGCCCGTTCCCCTTGTAGATACGCGTAGACTGCAATGATGTCAGCCCCGAAGCGTCTCTTTGCAGCAGCAGGTTTAGCTGTTTGGCTGCCTGGAGCCTGGCTCCTGATGGTCATCCCGCCCAGTGTAAGGCAAGTGAGGGACGGAGTTTCACCATGGGGCTCTGGCTATGCTGCTCTCTCCCTTGCTTCCTGCAGAGCTCAGCACTGGAGGAAACTGAATTGCTCCTGCTTGGAGCCAGGGTCTCTCTTGCTCTGGTCAAGGTGGTTCTCTCTTTTCTTGCTGTTAGATTGCAGCAGAAACCAAGAGCCATCATTAACGGCTACCTCTGCATCCCCCTATTGTCTTGGAGCCCTGCTCCTCCAGCCTTGCTGAGTCCTGCTTCAAACCTGTGGGATGGTGCTGGGCTGGGTTTTCACACCTCACCCAAAGATGCTTTGACACTTACAGACTCCTGTATTACTTCCCCCAGGTCCTTCCTGGCACCTCCGTTACAAGCCTTTGGCACCTGGGAATGGCTGGCCTGGAGTGATATCATCTCAGACAACGCTGGTTGCAGGGCATGTTGGGCTGGTTTCGAAGACCTGAAGCAATGGGGGAGGGGCTGGTGCTGCAGAGGGCCACCAGCGGGGCTGCTGCATCTGCATGGCTGCTCAGTTCTCATGTGGAATATGCCCAGTGGGTCACCTGGATCCAGCTTCTCCAAGGACTGCAAGACGCGCAGCTCCCCCACCTGTTGCTGTGGTGACCAGTGGGGCACAGTGCTGCTCCGGGAGGCACGGCTGGGGGATGGACGGTGTCTCCAAGAGACATTTTCTTTTCTCCTCCCAAGTCCTGGGCTCTGGCCAGAGGGGGAGCCCAGGGGAAACAGGAGACGGCTGTGCCGGAGAAGTAATAGTCCCGCTGGCCTCACCCAGGACCTGCTGGGTTCGGGGCAGTCTGTCCCCCAGGGTCTTGGCCATTCCTAGCTAGGAATGGCCTGGCAGTGAGCTCCCCACCATTCCCCAGCCTCAGCCCTCAGTGTCCCAGAGGTCTCCTGCACAAGCCAGCAATGGAGGAATAGTGGGGCCCTGCAGAACAGGAACCAAATGAGCGGAGGCGGGATTAAATAACACGTGGCCCAATATCCCAGGGGAGGTTCCCTCTGGCTCCTCACTGGAACATCAGTCTTCTGTCCAGGCTCAGGGCTCTGGAGACCTGGGTTCCGATCTAGCCTTGTGTCCCAGATGGAAAGGGGGTGTCTCATTCTCGCCCCTTCACGGCAGTGTAGTGGCAGGAAAGGGACGCCCCTGCTGCCCGGGCCATTGGTAAAGTCCTTTGGGATCCTGGGCTCCAGGGCGGTAATTGCCTGCAGTGTGCTGCTCTCAGCAGAGAGCTGCAGCCACAGGCTGTCTGCCCAGGAGCCTGCAGGGACTGACAGAGACCTGGGTCCGCTTCTGAGTAAAGGAGGGAGATGCATAAACTCGCTGTGTTCCTGCAGAGAGAAGCGCGGCTGTCAGGGAGCTGGAGCCCCAGCCAAGGCAGAGACGCTGCCCTTGATCCCAAGGGTGCTGTGCAAGTGACAGGGAGGCTGCAGCGCAGGTCCCTGCTGAAGGCAGAGCTGGAGCCCGCATTGGAAAAGCACCCAGCGGGTTCCGTGGTGAGAGCCTTGTGGCCCTGCCTGTGCAGAGTCCGAGCATTGTGCCCCCTGTCAGAGTGTGCCCCTGTGCTCACACCCTGCACGCTCTTGTAATGATGTTTGTACCTGAGAGTCTGGTCAGTCAGGCTGCTGAAAGCACATGGTGAGAGAACTTTGCTTTGAATCTAACATCGTTTGTTATGTTAGGCACCAGTGTTTGATCTTTATTTTTCTTTTAACCATTTCTGACTTTTATGCCTCACTACTTGGACTCCCTTAAAATCTCTCGCTTTGTCGTTAATAAACCTGTTTGCGTGTTTTATCTATTCCGGTGTGTGGCCGTTGGAGTGCCTGGGTACTCTATTTAAAATAATAAGCTGGTACTGAATATGTGTGTACTGTCCAGGAGAGGCCTGGGCAGGGCAGGACACACATTTCTGGGGGGAAATCCGAGACTGCGTGTGCTGGGGTCACTCTGCAGCATGACGAAGGCAGGTGAGAGCCCAGGCGTGGCTGGCTGGCTGCAGCTCACACACAGACGGAGCTGGGAGTGATTTATATGCCAGAGGCTGCTTGTGAGCAGTCCAGGCTGTAGGCTACAGCAGCAAAGCATTGCAAAGGGGAGCCCAGGTAACGTGCAGGGGGGACACAGTCCCCCCCCCATTAGCCTGGATTGTGCACCGGTTTGTCAACCCCCCCGCCGGCCCCCGGAGGCTTGCTGAGGTCCTAGACACCACAAAGGCTCCTGGAAAGCCAGCTTCTCGTCAGCTGGAGTGACAGCACATTGGAGCTGAGCTCTCTGCTGACTGGTGGCACTAATATGCCCTGGACTGCGACTGAAGCCCAGCTGCAGAGTCTATGCTGCAATGCCATGGCCCAGACCACAGCACCCAGTATCCAGAGTGCCGAGACATACTGGGCATCACCGCTGTGATCCCACGGCAGCATTAAAGGCATAGATCTATCCACAGACACCCCGGGGGGTGGAACGTCTTGACCCAGCCCCCCCATGTGGCGATGCCATGGTTTATTTGATAATACTTTCAATGAAGTATACATTTCATTCCAGTTTAATAAGGTCATTGTTTTATATTAAACAAACACCAGTTAATTAACAAAGGAAGATTTATTGAGGTTTACCAGCTGTGTAATAAAGAGTTATTGAAACACGTATCACCTACAGAGCTGTTAATCTGCACATGTTAAACACTGCAGTTCGTTAGTGTCTCAGCCCTGGCTGGGTGAGATGGCAGGTGCTATGGTTTGGATGAGGAGACCAGGGAGAACACGTCCTCACCTCATTTCTCCCTGGCTGCTTTCTCGATGTCTCCTCCCTCACTCCCAGGCCCTAGCATCTTCCTTAGTGACATTCAGGGCTCTGCATTTGGCCCTCTCCACTGTGTCCCTGGCTGACTGCATTGGGTCATGTGGCTTCCATGCTCACTGATCTTTCCCAACCCCATGGGGAATCCCCATGGTTCCAGCTTGCTTCTCTGACAGCTCAGAGGGGAGCTCCAATCTCCAGGTTAAGCTCAATGTGGCAAAGCAGGAACTTTCTCCCCCTTTTACCCCTCACTACCACGCTCCCCATCCTTCCTGTCTTACAGCCTTACTTCCATGGCATCCTCTCGGACTCTTTATGTAAGGACATGGGTCCATCAGTCCAGTATCCAGACTCTGACAGTGGGTACCATCAGATAATGCAGAGGAAGGTGCAAGCACCCCATAGTAGGGAGATGTGGGATAATTTGCCCACCATGTAGGTCTCAGTCTGATTCTTAATAGTTAGACATCAGGCTTAGCCCGGAAGTCAGATTTCCTGTCCATTCAAAACTTTTATTTTAGCCTTAACTATTACAACTCTGGATAATCTTATCTATATAAATGTCCAATCCCTTTTTCATGCGTTAGGTTCTTGGCCTCAACTACTTCATGTGGCATTGAGTTCCACAGTATAATCTCATTTTGAATGAAAAAGTATTTCCTTTTACCAGTTTTGAATTTGCCACCTTGATTAACATTAAACGTCTCCATTTTCTTGTACAATGAGACACAGAGAACAGAAGTTCGGATCTGCCATCTCTTGACCATTCAGTATTTTATAAACTTTCATCCTGTCCCCTCTCATTCGTCTCCTCTTTAAGGTAACAATCCCAGTCTTTTCAATCTCTCTGCATAGGAGAGTTTTTCAAGCATCCTGATAATTTCTGAGCTCCCTCTAGTTCTGCAGTATGCTGTATGAGATAGGGTGGCCAGTCCCACACACAGTAGCCAGATGGGGTTGCACCACTGATTTATATAAAGGTGTTATCTTCGTATTATTCTCCATTTCCCTTCCTTATGCATCCAAACTCCTTCTTAGCTTTCCTGACCACAGCTGTGCATTGAGCCAAGGTCACCATGGAGGACAGGTCTCTTTCCTGAGTTAATACAGGGTCTGTCTACACTGCAATTAGACACCGGTGGCTGGCCCGAGCCAGCTGATTCGGGCTCATGGGGCTGTTTAATTACAATGTTGTAGACGTTCCGACTTGGGCTGTAGCCTGAGCTCTGGGACCCTCCCACCTCGCCAGGCCCTAGAGCCTGGGCGCCAGCCTGAGTGCAGATGTCCACATGGACATCGACAGTGCAGTTGAACAGCCCCGCGAGCCTGAGTCAGCTGGCATGAGCCAGCCTGGGTTTCAACTGCAGCATAGACATGCTCACCGTTAACACAGAATCTGGTGAGGTATATAAGCAATTTAAATCTTCCCCTCCAAAGTGCATTACTTTTTATTTATCAAAACTGAGCGTCACCTCCCACCTCCCTCCTTTTCCTCTCACTCTGTGGCTGACAGTGAATCAGGCTTATTTTATCTTTACTGTGTCACCTAAATCTGCCCAGCCGTCCATCTCCAGCACCAAAGCACTTGTCCCCCGTAGCTGCTGCCATCGCCTCCCCTCAGCCTGCTCCTCTGACTTTTCCAGAACGCTGCTGCAAAAACTAAGTCCAGCCCTGCAGCCCCTTGCTGCCCACACCACTTTAACCATCTTGGCCTCACCTCCAAGGCTCTGCACAGATTTACTGCTCCCACCTCCCTGTCATCCAGCCAGGCTGTGTGACTAGCCACCCCATGTCCCTCCCATGCCCCCATCTTGGAGCTGCCTCCTATACAGTCCAGTGGCCAAAACCCTCCCCTGACTTGGTCTGCCAAGCTTCCGCTCCCTTCTCCTGGGAGATCCGTGAATGCCGGTCCTCGCCTCCAAACAGAGAGGCAGAGCCAGGGGCTGGTGCTCGTCGTGCACTTGGGTAAATCAGGAATGGCTCCGTGCAATAACAGCTGGGTCACAGCTCCATGAGTGACCTAGGACCAGGGCCTGCATGTGCTGGGTGGAGCCAGCCCCACTGCTCAGCCCCCTCCTGTCCTCTCGTCACTACCCCACTCCAGAGAATGCCAGGTCTATGGGGCAGGACCCATGTCTTCCTTCACGTCTGCACAGCAGCCAGTGCCCTCTCGGTGCTGCAGAAGTGATCATTATTAAAACCCAAAGCTTGCCCACTGGAGTGGTCAGGGTCCTCCCCAGGGATTCAGATACCCCCAGGGAGGCTGCAGCCGCCAGCTGAGAGTCCCCAGGCTGTTTGCTGTGCTGCTGATGTTTTTCAAGCTGTAGGCAGCTGTCCGAGACACACCCGCCCCAACGGAGATGACCAGGAGCACGGAGCAGCTGTTCTCCTGGGAGGGAAGATGAGGTGGTGTCAAGCACTGAGGAGTCAGGAGAAGAGGTGCTGGAGCAAAGTGCTCCATCACCAGAGCAGCACTGCCGGGACCAGATCGCCCAGGCAGGAGAGCTGGAGGAATTTCAGCGAGAAGCGGCTCAGCTGCTAGCACCAGTGTGCAGTTTCCATCCTAATCAGGGCTGCACTGGAGCTCTGGGGTAGCCAAGTTGTACCATTTATAAGGCAACAGGGGGCACTCCGGGCATCACAGAGAAAGCGACGAAATGAGGCTAGGTGCAGAAAGACATTCACATGGAGAGAGAGAGAAGACCGGTGCTGGCTTCTTTCAAGAGGAGACAGATAATTGGTATACAAAGTAATGAATGGGATAGGAGGCGGCAAATCGGGCACTGCTATTTACCCTGGCAGTCTGCAGGTACAAAGGGATGTTCCATTCCACTGAAAAGCTGACTGAGTTCAGATTAATGCAAAGAAATTCTAGCTGTTTACACAATGCACAGCTAACCCCTGGAACTCCCTGCTGCGAGTTGTCACTGAGACCAGGGGCTGAGTGGACATTTATATGGATAGTGAAGACAGTCACAGTCAGGTTACATAAGACAAGGACAAATGCAGAAGGGAGCTACTCCTGCTCCAGGCCCTCAGCCAACTTCTAGCTGATGGAACCAGGAAGAAGCTTTCCCCCCAGATAGGTTATTCAATTTTTGTCCACCTGGGGGCATTTCTTGCACCTTCCTATGAAGCAGCTGGATGCTGGGCTGATCTGGCGTGGCAGTTCTGGTGTTTCTGTCTACTAGTGTAATTTCTAGGCCTGGCAGAGAACGTGTTTAACTAGCTCTGTGGTTACTGTAAAATCTATCTCAAATATGTAAAGTAAAAGTACTGTGAAGCCAGCTGTTTCAGTGTCATTGGTCTGCATATAAATCTCAAACACTGCAACTGTCAATCCGAGTTTTCAGGTGGTTGTAACTAACCTAAATCTTTCTTTTTACTCAGCACAACTTGGATTTCCCCTGGGAGCTCTCTTCTCTGAAGCCTGAACTGTATCTGTCAAAACATCCCCTTGAGGTCTCCCAACCTTTGATAAGTCCTTGTATTCCATTTCAGGAACAGAGGAAAGAAATGTCAGCCCTGTAATCCCATTCCCTCTGTAAAGGAACGCCCCCGGCACGGCTTGTCCTGCGGCGGTGCCAGGTGAGGGGGATCCTTGCTGCTCCAGATTTGCTGGGAAAATCCTTCCTGCCCTTCACGTGCTGCTGCCAACGACACTCTGCCCTTTCCTTTTCTGTGCATGCCAGGCCCTTGCTGGCCTGTGGTGCCAGGCTCCATAATCCACTGGTTACATTTTCAAACGAGCATCTTTGTGCTTTCTCCCAGGCTGCCCCACACACTTGGGAGGCCTCTGTGTAAACAGCCACAAAACAAACGGATTAATCTCCTTCTAATCCTGCCTTCAAACTCTTCTCTGCAGGAAGCCAACAAAAAACTTGACATCAGCTAGACTATGGGTGTACTGAGACTGCAGCCTGTCATGCTGACCGATACTATCCCACTGTTACCTTGGACTCTCCCACCAGTCTGCCTGTATCCAGCTATTGTCTCTTCCCT